AGGTCATCGACTCCGCGTCCGCCGGCGACACAGTGAAGATCCCTCTGACCGGCCTCAAGTGCCCTGGCCGTCATTTTGCAAACCCTAGAGCCCAAACCGTTGATTTCGGTCAAACTGCGAATTGAATGCAGGTTTCAGTGTCCGGCCGACGGCTTGCCGCCGGCCCGGGACTTTATAACAGTCTGGGAAAGCATGTTGGTGACAGGGACAGACCTGTCGCGGGAGCCCTTGAGTGTCAGCGTGCAGCTCAACGGGAACCACTCGCAGAACCTCGCGAATGTCGGCGTGGACATCATCAAGGGCTTCACGAAGGCAAGCTGTTTGGCATTTACCTTGGCGATCCTGGCGGACCGGGATCCGGACTCCGAGGAGGACTGGCCCTTGATCGAGCCCTTCAGCAAGCTGCTCGACCGTGGCTTCTTGGTTCCCTGCCATGCTCCGTGTCTCAAGCTAGTGAAACCGCCCATGACTGAGTCTGCTGAAACTTGCATTTCAAACTCATCGGGTGCTGAGGTGTCGGTGAACATGTCGACGGTGGAGCAGAGCTTCTCCAACCTGGCCCTCTCGTTCAGAGGAGCGGAGAGACAAGCCCCTTCGATCCTTGGCTTCTGCTTGCCTATCAGGCAAGCTAACAGTCTTCAGCAGGGGTGCAGCCCAGGATCATCTCCTTGGCCTTGCGCTTCAACGACATCTTAAAGACGAAGACCAAGCAGGGAGCGCATCCCTCCGGATGGAACGTGGAGCGACGCATCGAGGCCATCGTGGAAGACTTTAACGGCAGCTCCCTCATGACCTCCAAGTTCGCCCTCGACGGTGAAAAGATCAAGGCCGTTTGCAACGTGATTGTCGGGACTTGCGAGGCCAGGGCCTTGAGTGTGAGGTCGTTCCAAACTCATGCCGTTCGTTTTCCTGCATCGGTTTGCGGTCCAGCCGCCTCAGGAGACCCTGACATTGATGCAGTCCCATTTGCACACAACGAAATGGAAAGACTCGGCCTTCAGCCACAGCCTCATCAAGTCGAACCGATGGTTGATTGGCGCCTCCCGGCGAGTTGATCACAACTACATGCGCAGCCTGCTTGTGGTGACAGCCGAGATCCAGGCAGCGTTTTAGATTTGAGCAGACTGGCGTTTGATTTGTGTTCAGATGGGAAGACTTGCACATTGTCATTTGATCAGGCTTTCTTCGTGCGCAACCACATCCTCGCTTTCTTGAGGGCAGGGAAGCGAATCCGGGCATCCGCGCGCTCCAAATGCCGGCCTCACCCCGACGACTTTGAGAAAGCCGTGGACTATTGCTGCATCATGCATCACATGCTGGAGGAGGCCGCCAAGCAGTTTCCCGAGAAGGACTTCAGCTCCTTGAAGCAGGCGGTGGACAACAGGCTCGTCCCCATCGTTCGCGTTGTGTTGCTCACTATTGCATAAGCCTTGAGATGCATGTCATTGAGACTTCCGGTGTCAGGGAGTGGTATGATGAAGTGCTGCTGGCGGTGGACACGCAGCTTCCGAACTGGAAGCTCGCCCACCTCACGCCCTGGAACGAGTTCGTCGAGGCGCTAGTGCATGACGTTTTGATTTAATTACTGACTTACCTGCTGCCGTCCCAACGCAGGAGGTCTCGATCAGCTCGACCTTGGATGCTGGAAGTATGTTGAACTTGGATGAGCTGGAGGAGGCCAGAACCGCGGCACGCTACCAGGACAGCTCGCGTTTCAGCTGCGTGGCTCATGAGTAAAAGCTCCAAGACTGACTGCTTGATGCGCAGGAAGTGATGGCAAAGTTGGCCTCGGACGAGAATGAGTGGGCCAAGTACTTGCAAGTTGGCAAGTCCACAGCGGCCCGTGAACACGTGCTCAAAGTGGCCCACACGCGGGCCCAAAACGTCATCGGGCAGGGGTAGCCTGGCCCAGCTCAGACTCTGTTTGGAAGGGAGTGAGTGTTTGTCGTCAGGCAAAAAAATCATCTTAAATAGCGATTCCCAAGTATAAAGGCTGGTGGAGACGGCGATGCAGCGGCGGTGCCTCATGACATGCTTGGCCGGTGACTTCTCGGTCCCCAACCTGGACACCTTCATCCGTAACGCCGCCATCGACTTCAGCAAAAAGGCCCGGGGCAGCATGTTCAGCGATCATGCTATTTTGCAGGAGGCAGATGAGGTTTCCAGAAGCAACCCTTTCCATTATTTCAGGCCACGGTGGATGATGTGGAGGTCGTGGTCTGGACCGACTTCACGAAAGTCGGCTCGGTCAACAGCATTGTCGTGAACAAGCACTTGCATTTCCAGGCCAACATCGTCTGCAAGAACGGCCAGCGTCTTGCGGCTGCATCGCGTGTTTCATTTACGTACGGTCCAGGTCCAGTGCAAGGTGTTTTGATGCAGTGTCGGAATGACCAGTTGTCAATTCAATGAATGTTTACCACTAGTTCATCCAATGGGAATTTTGGTCATGGCATGCGCAAGGTAACATGGCCCTGACCATCGCTCCTCTCCTTTGCGACAGCACCTCCGGCGCCGCGCTGAGGAAAGAGTACAGGCCGCATCAGACCTCATGACCGCATTTATGTTGAGTGCCTTTGAGCACTCCTGTCGCTAGCATCCTGAACCCGGCAGGATCATAGAAGACAAGCTGGTCAACCTGAACTTGGAATATCGACCCGTCGTGCTGGCCATCGACTTGTCGGCCGCACACGGGAACCGAGAAGTCCCCGGCTACTTCGATGCTTACATGGCCGTTCCGGACGTGAACCTTCCGCTGAAAGGCACAGCGTTCCGTCCGGCTTCCGGAGAGTTGAAGGACTCGACCGTGAAAGTGAACAAGCGACTTGTCTCACTCTGACTGAATCTCAATGACGTGCAGGATGATTTGAATTTGCTTGGCAATGGCCAGTCTAATGCGGTTTGCGCTTACTTCTGAGGCACACAACTTCGTCTCTGTGGAAGCTTCGCGGCCTGCAGGCCCCTTTGCCGGCGGCAATCCCCGAAAGTGAGTTCCTGGTGCCGGGCTCCAAGATGCTGACGA